TTCTATTATGACCCAGAATATGTTTTATCTTGCTTAACGTTCCATGGGCGTTTAAGAAGAATATTCTGCTGTTATTTAGATAGAGTGCTCTATAAATGTCATTTCAATCTCATTGGTTGATGGTGGTGTTCAATTCTTCTATACCCTTGCTGACTTTTTATACAGTAGCCTATCAACTGGTGACTGTGGAATATACAAGCCTTCAATTATAATTGGAAATCTGTCTATTTCTATCCTCAGCTCTAACAGTTTCTGCTTTGTGTATTTTGAAACTGTGTATTTTGGTCCAAACACACTTAGGATTGTAATGATTTTTCTATGGGAGTGATCCTTTTATTATTATAAAATATCCGTTTCTAAGTCTCTAGTAATTTTCTTTGATATTTCATCATTATGAAATATCCCTTTCTAAGTCTCCAGTAAAGCCCTGAAGAGACTTTATATGATACTCACATAATCACTCCTACTTTAAAAATAATGTTAGCATGGTATGTATTTTTTTCCATCTTTTTACTTTCAACATATCTGTTATTGTATTTCAAGTGAGTTACTTACAGTCAGCATATGATCATTTGATTGGATCATGTTTGTGTTTTTTTTAATCCACTCAAACAATCTCTGCCTTTACATTGGTGGTCTTCAGAACACTTAAATTTCAGGTGATATGGTTTGGCTATGTCCCACCCAAATATTATCTTGAATTGCAGCTCCTGTAATCCCCGCGTATCACTGGAGGGACTTGGTGGGAGATAACTGAATCATGAAGGCGGGTTTTTCCCATGCTGTTCTTGTGATAGTGAACAAGTCTCATGAGATCTGATGGTTTTATAAAGGGCAGTTTCCCTACACGTGCTCTCTTGCCTGCCGCCATGTAAGATGTGGCTTTGCTTTTCCTTTGCCTTCTGCCATGATTGTGAGGCCTCCCCAGCTATATGGAACTTGGGCCCATTAAACCTCTTTTTCTTTATAAATTACCCAGTCTCAGGTATGTCTTTATTACTGGAGTGAGAACAGACTAATATATAAGGTGATTAATGATGTATGAGGACTTGAGTCTGCCAATTAATTTTTTTCCTATTCATCCTCTTTCTAATTCCTCTGTTTCTCATTTCTTATCTTCCTATGAGTTACTTTTAAAGAATAACTTGATTGTTTTCTTATTGGTTGCTCTAGGCATTATGATATAAATATGTCATTTATTACTGTCTCCTCATATCAGTATCTACCATTTCTAGTGAAGTATAGAAACCTTCTATTTAGGTCCCTTTAGTCTTCACACTTTTAAAATTAAATTGTCTTAAGTATTCCATCCATAAACATTGGATATCATTTCAGATGGTGTTATAGTTTTGCTTCAACCATGAAACATAATTTAAGAATTGCCTGGGAACTAGGATACTCTAATTCTACTTTTCTCACTCACTCCAATGTTCTTCTCTCCTTTCTGAAGTTCCAAGCTTTCTTTTGTTATTTCCTTTCTGTTTAGAGAATTCCCTTTGGACATTATTTAAGGGTAGGCTTGCAGGCAACAGTTTTGCAGTTTTCCTTCCACTGAGAAGGCCTTTATTTCTTCTTTGTTCCTGATGGAGATTTTCACTGGATATAGAATCCTAAGTTGGCAGTTCTTGTCTATCATTATTTGAAAAATGCTAAGCTACTTCCTTCTGATCTTCATGATTTCATGTGAGAAATCTATGTAATTCAAATTGGCATTCTATATAAGCAATGTGTCCTTTCTCTCTGGCTGTTTCAAGACTTTTTCTTGTCTAGTTATATTCATGATATGTCTTGGCATGGATTTACATAGTTTATTCTATTTGCAGTTTGCATAACCTCTTGAATATGTATGCTTATGCCTTTCACCCAGTTTGGGGGAGTTTCCAGCCAATACATCTTTAAATACCCCTTCAGTCCCATTCTCTTTCTCCTCTCCTATGACTTCAATGTAATGAATGTTACTTTTTTCTTATTCTCCTACATGTCCCTGAGACTGTTCATTTTGTTCCAATCTATTTTCTCTCTGTTGTTCAACTTGGTTATTTCTATTGATCTGTCCTGAAGTTCATTAATTTTATCTGCCATCTTCTTCACTCTGTTGAGCTGATCAGTGAGCTTTTACTTGGTGGTCGCATTTTTTAGTTCAACAATTTCCATTTGGCTCTATTTTATAACTTCTACTTCTTTGGGAGATTTTCTACTTTTTCAATTGTTGCAAAAGAATACCTAATTGCTTGTTAAAACAATTTTGTAATTCCAACATCCAATTCATATAAATATTGGCTTCTGTTGATTGTTTTTTCTCATTCATGTTGTTATTGTCCTGGTTCTTGGAATAAAAATGGGCTTTTTAATTGCATTCTAGACATTATGGATTTTATATTATGAGACTCTGGATCTGATTTCATCTTTTCTCTTAGCAGTCATTCTCTGTGAAGGATAGCCCAAGGGCCAAGGGAGTACAGGTAGGGCAAAACATCAATGTCTTGTTTGGCCCCACTGAAACTATGTAGGATTGGTTGTTACGTTGATGTTTTGCTGGAATAGAAAAAATGTAATTACAAAGGTATTCTGTGGTCCTCTGGCTAGAAGGAAAAAGATTTCCTGGAGTTTTTTGTTTTCTTTTTTTTAATTTAATTTTTATTTTTATTTATTTTTTTGAGATGGAGTCTCGCTCTGTCACCCAGGCTGGAGTGCAGTGGCATGATCTCAGCTCACTGCAACCTCTGCCTCCTGGGTTTAAGTGACTGTCCTGCCTCAGCCTCCTAAGTAGCTAGGATTACAGTCATGTGCTACCATGCCTGGCTAATTTTTGTATTTTTAGTAGGGACTGGGTTTCACCATGTTGGTCAGGCTGGTCTTGAACTCCTGACCTCGTGATCTGCCCATCTCGGCCTCTCAAAGTGTTGGGATCACAGGTGTGTGTCATGGTGCCTGGCCTTTTTTTTTTTTTTTTTTTTTTTTTTTTAATCTGTGCCTATTGTTGGTCCAAGTGAGAAGATTCTGGAATGCTCTGTTCATGATATATAGGAGTCAAACAGGAAAATCAGGGAACTTCCCTTTTGTCTTTAAGGCCCAAAGCCCCTAGACATTTCACTTTCTCCTTTTCAAGTCTTCTCATACAGATTAAGCCTTTCTAATTCAAACATTCAGAATCCAAAATATGCAATTCTCCAAAATCCGAAACTCTTTAAGCACCAACATAATGCTCAAAGGTCATACCCAAAGGAAATGCTCACTGGAGCATTTTGGATTTCAGATTTTCAGATTAGGGATGCTCAACCAGTAGGTATAATGTAAATATTCCAAAATCTGAAAAATCATAAACACTTCTAGTCCCAACCATTTTAGATAAGGAATACTCAACCTATACTTGTATGCTGTGCTACACCCAGGGCTTCTTAGTTATAAAGGTGAAGACCTCATTGGAATATGGTTACTCCATACTGGCAGAATAAAAAGTCCAGATTAGTTTTTATATTCAAAAGTATTCCAGTCTTCAATATCCATAAATTCAAAGGCAATTTAAAACAATTTTGTAGACCATTTCCTCTCATCACTTTTTTTCCTTCATAAAACTTTCTATTTCCAAAGATCACACTGTCCTTTGTTCCTCTGGGAAGCAATCTGAAGAAAGGCTTTGATCATTTAAGCGTCTGTTCTGTTTAATATTGCAAGCACCAGCACTGAACACCTATTTGAGGCTCTGGAGGATATTACAATATTACACTGTTGGAATATGGATGAGATCTTCACCTATACAATGGCCAAAGGGGAAAGGTCTCTAGAGAAATGTGGCTATAGACTTAAGTCACTTTTCCTACCTTAGCCTAGACACTACCCATGAATGTGGATTCTCAGGTTACACTTGTTCTTTGAACTACAATGTACTTGGTTTCTCCCTCCCAAATAGGAAGCTTATCATGGTGATTCTTTCCCCTCAAATTGAAGCCCAGATATTAACTCTGGTATATTTTTTCCGTTATACTTGGTATTTCAGCTGGAATGAATTTCTCCCAATCATCTGCTGTTCACTTCCTCAACGATACCCAAATTAAGTTCTTCTACTACTTGCATCTAAGATAACACCAATACAATTTAGGCCAGGGGATTCTCTCCAGCACATAGAATGTGCCATACAGAAGTCTACCTTAGCCATTGCCCCCAGCCACCTCATGCAGGTCTATTCTCCAGGGGAAGAGCAGCTCTGTGTGTCAGGTACAGAAAATCAACACGGGCAATGGCAGCTATGAGTAAGGTCAGGTGTGACATGGTTGCAGCCACAGAAACACCTTCAAGTGAAATTTTCGGCTGGTCCTGTAGGGGTGGCATGGTGGTAGTTGCGGTAGTTGTATCTGACAAATTCAAAAGTGGCTTAAGGGGAACAGGACTTATTTTACAGAAGTCTACTTTAGAAATTTTTTCCTAAGATGCTCCAAAACTGGAGGGGAAAACCTCTGTTCCATTTTGCAAGATTCTCCTTTACCATCTCTTCCTTTTGGTCTACAATATTGACAGAACCAGCAATGCTCAGCCCATTGAAGATACAATAGTGAGCAGACAGCATCCCTATCCTTGTAAGGCTTACCTTTAAGATCAGAAAAGTTACCCCATCTGTTGCCCCAATGACCATTTAATCAACCATGAGAAGGACAACAAGGGAAATAACAAGTTGGTTCAATTTTCTTTGAAATCTCAGCAAGAGCCATATTCTTTCAAGAGTGTCAACGTATGCATCAGGCACGCCACAGCATGTGTTTATTAGAGTATGAGGATTTCAGAACTAGCAAGCCTCTGAATTCAATGAAATTATTTTAGTGTCATGATTTTCTTTGCGCCTCTTAAAGAATATTCTACACATGGGGGCTCCAAGGGCCTCAATGAAAGGGCAATGCATTTGATGAGGTTTTCTTTTTCTAATCAAGACAGATTTATGGTAAAACAATCACTATGAGGGAGACAGGAGTGTGCTGTGACTGTGATGCTCCCCCCGCTGCCCCTACCTCCTTGTTTGTCCTGTCTGCTTGCACCAAGGTTCCATTCAGGCAAGGTTCCACATAGTGAAGCTCCTCGTTATACTGCAAAGGAAAAGAGTCAAGAAGAAACAGTTAAGGAATTGAAGAGTACTTCTTAATAATTAAGGAGATATGCATATAAACAACAAAAAAGTGGCATAATCACAGGTTCCATTTATTCACATGAGGTCACCACTCCCACGGGTGACCCTCTAGGCAATTATGACCAAGTGCTACAGACACTTACTCTTTTCTTGTTTGAAGGATAAACTTCTAGAGCACGTGCTGGTAGATGGCAAGGTTCAGGGTATACTCTGTTAACTAACCATTCTTTGGGGTTGCCTCCAAACACTGGCAGTTCCCTGGGCATGGCTGACAGCCATGAGCCCGTGGTCCAGGTGGGATCTGCAGAGCATCCCAGAGTTGCATGGATACAGCTCCAGCTACTGTCTTTGGCTTCATGAAACCAAGGGACACATGTGTCAGTTACACATGAGTGGGGACAGAACAAGCCTTAATGTTCGCTGGTCACTCTGAGAGAGTATGTGGGTACCAGTCAGGACACTGCATGCACAATTTCCCATGCACTGCCAACGCCAGCACCCCCATCACTTCAATCTCAAAATACTCAGAATTGGGCCCTTTATTTTTTTTGCCCAAAGCTCACAACCAGGTAGCAAAAATGTGAGTATTCTTATCTTCATTTCTCTCAGCAAGCTTGTTTCTCTGCCCTGCAGGGAGGCTGGTCCTTCCAAAACACACATCTGATCATCTTGCCTTTTGTCAATCCCATTCACAGCTCCCGTTGCTGTGCAGATAAGAAATCCTGGGGCTTTGCGAGGCTCTGGATCCTTGGCCCTGCTGACGCTTTAGCATCTTCACTCATCAACCTTCTCCTAAAACTTGTCCTGGCCAGCCATTATTCCCCTGCTGTCCTCTGACATGTCTCCTCTGAGACATTGGATCAGGCTCTCCAACGCTGGGATCCCTGACTGGAGTTCTCTCTCTGGCACCTCTTCTCTCTGGCTGATTCCTGTTCACATTCTGGGTCAGGTCATTCCTACCTCCTCTGGGAAGCAGCTCTGGTGCAGGCTAGGCACCAGGTTAGGTCCCTCTTCTATATATTCCCTGTAAATTCTAATTATCTGTTGCCTGGATTCCCCACCACAAAGTGGGACCACACCATTAGGGCTCATGCCTGGTCCTTCAGTGTAATTCCTGCGGCAATTACATGGCTGGACCCAAAGCAGGTGCCTGAGGACCATTTGATTGATGACAGTGTCACAGTATATCCACTTTAGCAGCCAAAGAGGCCTGGAGCTCCTGAGGGAAGAGAACAGAGCCATCTCTCCCAGACCCAGCTAGCTCTTAAGCAAAGCTGGCCTAGGGAGTTTGGGCTTTAAAACCACAGTCGGCAAGGACCATGCAGGGCTGTGAACGTGAGAGTGAGTGAAATAAAGAGATAAGCTTGGGAAATCACTCTGGATACACCTCAGGGACAGGTTGACAAGGGGCTAGACCTGAAGCTGTTCAAGAGCAACTGGGATGCATCAGGTTTCCCATGAAGAGAGCCTCACTAAGCAAGCAGGGGTGGTGATCATACTGACCTTGGCAATTAACTGTTGAGCACTTACTGCATCTAGGCACCAGGTAAACTTCATCTGCAGGTTAAGCACCTCCAATTACTCCCCCTTTACAGATAGGGAAACTGAGGCATGGCAAAAATGATCACATTGCCCAAAGATTCCAGAGAGTAAGGGAGGGGGGCGGCGGAGTTGAGATTCAAATCCAGGCAGACTGACCTCACAGCCACTCACCACAGGACCTCAATGCCCACAACTTATCCTCCCTGGCTCCCAAACCTCCAGATCTCCCCATCAGTCAGGCTTGCACCCTCTCTCTCTTCTTTGCATTTAGTCATATAAAAGCATTTGAAAAATTATCCCAATGGTTTGAGGGCTTAAATATCTTCTAATGAGGCATGGAGTAAAAATATATTTATGAAATTAGCCATTGAGAAATGGGAGTACGACTTTTAGTCAACAAACAGACATCATCTCAGGATCCAAGAAGCAACTGCACAGTTCAATATGAACGAAAATTCCACCAAAGCTCTCAGTCTCTCTTGGACTGACCCTGGAAGGTGCTGAGAAAACAAGCATTCCCCTCTCCTTCACTTCCCTGGCTGACTGATGTGGTTTAGGGTGACAATACACCAATTTCTAAGGCCTGAAGCACAAAAGGTCTTAGCCAGTCACAGCCATCCAGTTCCCCTCTGTTGGACACAACCTTTCATAGACTGTCTTGCAGCTAGGGGCAGTCAAATGACCATGGCGTAAGGGGAAGTTTGCTGGACAGTTTCAATGAAATGTCTTCCCGCCATTAAGGGAAAACTCATCTATACCCACTCTTTTCTTCCTACTTGGGATGTTATTGCGTGGAGTTGCTGTAGCCATTTTGCAACTATGAGGTTACAAGACAAAGAATGGAATATAAAGACCAAGGAAGACAGAGCAGCAAGATGGAGCCAGTGTGGGTCCCTGAGGATAATGCTGAGCTACTGTCCAAAGACTGCAGCCACTCTCCTTCAGGCTTCTTACATATCATCAGATGCCTGAAGCTGAACCAATCATTCTTCACCTGTTCTGTAACCTAGAGCCCAAATCTTTCCTAATTGAGGTTCCCACCTTGGTTTTACTTCCTCTCATTCTTCCATTCTCCAGGTAAATTGAATCACTTCACTGACATTCTACCTAATGCACACTCTCAAAGTTGATTCCTGGGGTTGTACAGTTTGAGCTGGAAGCCAGGTCACTTGGGTCCAAGTCCTGCCTCTACCATGTACTCACTGTGTGGCCTTGGGGAAGTCGCTAAGCCTCTCTGATCCCAGAATCTTTTGCATAAGAAGATACTAATTCACCTTCTGGTCTCCCTTTGGGGGCCCCTGCAGAAATTCAGTGAGGCAACGGACCGGAAACTGCCTTGCTAGTATAAAAGTCTATACATGTGGGGGCTGCAGAAGGGATTTAAAAGTCAAGAAGACCAGGGAGTTCTTGCCCTCATCAGGGAGGTACATGTGCAGTAATCAAAACCATGCTCGCCATCACTGTGTGTGCTATGGCCTCAGTGGAAGAATCTGCTCTTCTGAATCCCAGCCAGCTTGTTAGTGGCATCATCCAAGCTTGCAGTTGACTAATTTCCCTTGACTGCATCAGGATAAAGCTATGCCGAGCAATCTGGTCTGTATCACCAGGGGGAGCCGGGCTCAGCCATGTGTGTAAGGGAATGGTGCACACCAGGCAGCTGTACCAAGGAGGCCTGCTGGCTGTGCATGCTCCTCTCACTACCCAACAGCTCCTCCCAAGAGGGACCCAAGGATGCCCCATGCACAGAACTGCTTCCAGACTCCTTGCAGCCCTTTATTTGGAAATCTTTCAGCTTCTGCATTTTTATGTATGTTCCCTATATTACTATTTTGTGAAACGATGATGCAGAAGGGTCATATATATTTACAAGTCAAGATGTGGTCACCTCTTGCCCTAAGACGCAACAGCCTTATAAATAGCTCTCCTTGATCCCTACTTAAATAATCTGATCTCAATAGTCTAAGGAAGAAAAGGATGCAACCCACATCATCACCAGCTAGATGCAATTTCCTTCTATAATTTGCTTTTACTCCCCTGCACTACCAGGAGTGAACTCTAAAGAAGTACTTAACCTTTTTCCTTCCTGCCCAAGTGGTTAGTCCTTCTTGCAAATTTCTGGGAAATGGGAAGAGTCTCATAGCGAGAGAGGAGTGGGCCCACGCTGCCCTGGAAACAGGTCCAGTCCAGCCTGTCAACCACACGTTGAGGAAACGGACAAGAACTTTCACCCTTTAAAGAACTCAGAAGCTGCCACACAGCACGCGGGGGCTTGGTCACTGTTGGCTTTCTTCTCGCTGCTTCCTTCCTGGTTAGCTTTCCTTTTCTGATTCTCACAAGGGTAGAACAGTAGAGCTAAAGCAACGTAGGCAGGCAGGCCTGGGTTCAAATCCTGACTCTGCCACACACTAGCTGAGTGACCTTGGCCTCAGTTTTTGTGTTGGGGAAGCAAGTATTCTAACTGCACCTCTCTCATGAGCTCATTGTGAGGACGAAATGAGATAACAGTCAACAAAGAACCAGGCACATGAGAAAGGCATCTAGGTGCACATGCACAAATGCACAAAAAAGAAAAGAAAATATATATGTGAGTGTGATGTGTGCTACACAGAGGGCAAGACTAACAGGTGACACCCTGCACCCAGAGCTGGAGCTTGCCATGTAGGAGGGGGGTGATGTCAGTGTTGGCAAAGTGACCCACTCTTTGGAACAGGGGGCATGTGTCTTTGGCCTCCTCTGGAGACCATGAATCTGCGTTTGTTGGAGATAAGATATCATGTCATCAGGCACATGTCACTGTCTACGCACCCAAGATAAGCCCACACATTGTCTCACTCTAAGCCACTCTCTGAATCCTCCCAGGGACCAAGGTCTTTGGCAGACAGGGAGCCAAGATGGTGCAGTCGGCTTACTGCCAATTCCCCATGGAGGATGGCATCTGCCACAGAACTCTTGACTTCTTTATTTCCTCAGTGTGTATTACCCTAAGCACTTACTGTGTGCCAGGGCCATAAAACAGCGGCTAAGTTGGCTCATGAACATCACTATAGAGTGACAATGAACCATTTTTTGCTTTTCTTAGTAAAAGAATATGTTCATTCCAACCGGACATAGTGTCTGTTTTTCCTTTTGTTCCTTTTTTTGTTTGTTTTTGATATGGGGTCCTACTGTGTCAGCCAGGGTAGAATACAGTGGTGTGATCACAGTTCACTGTAGCCTCCACCTACCAGGGTCAAGCAATCCTCCTGACTCAGCCTCCCAAGTAGCTCAGACCACAGGCACATGTCATCACGTCCAGCTAATTTTTTAAAAATTATTTGTAGAGACATGGTCTCCCTATGTTGCCTAGGCTGGTCTCAAATTCCTGGGCTCAAGCAATCCTCCCGCCTCAGCCTACCAAAGTACTAGGGCTACAGGCAT